ATATATATATATATATATATATATATATATATATATATATATATATATATATATATATATATATATATATATTATTTCCATGTATAATGATATTTGAATATATTAATAAAATATAAATTTTATTATATTTCATTTGATTAATAAAAAAATACTAAATTCGAATATATATTAGTTTTTATATATATTACATTTATATATTCAAATGAAATAATTATGAAATATATATTATTTTATTATTATATTAATTTTATATAGATATCCCAATTTGTTTTTTATTGAATGGATATTCGAATATTCCACAATACTAAAAATAAAAAAAAAATCATATTCCTTTATTTTAATATTTCAATATTAAAAAAGTATTTTTTTTTCTGAAAATTATTTGAATATTCGTAAAACAATTGAGTATCGTTAATTTTTTCAATAAATATATTTTGAAATACTGAAAATATAAATTAGATTTTTTTATTTAGAATTTATAAAATATTAACTTTGGAAATAATATATATACATGTGGTAATTGTTTAAATGAGTGTATAAATGTTAAATAGGAAATAACTTAAATACATACCAAAATAAAATTGACAACTCACCAATTGAAGAATCCATCTCATCAATTGAACTCCAACTAAGCAATTTTGATAAATGACATCATAATTTACCACATGTCAATCATTGAGGGCATAGATCCTCTTTTTATATTATATATAGATATATAGATTGTTTGTAACGATTATTTTGCATGTCAATTCATTTTTCCATAAGAAATATATTTGTCAATGTACTATGTATGTATAAATTACACTGATAATCTACCTTTTTGCATTAGTTGTAAATTTTTTTTTTGAGTTATTTAATGTTAAATTTAAAATCCATATAATTCTCATGTCATTATTTAATTCAATTATTAAAAAATAAATAAAGGAAGATAAAATAGTAACTCACCACCGATAATCTCATTTCTTATCATTTAGGATCTCAGTTTATTCAATGGATTCGATTACTTTATCATCTCTCATTCTTGCGAATTTTTGTTTTTTTACCAATGTTTTTAAAACCGGACCGGAGGTAGAACCGGACAAGCAACTGGGTCACGGTTGGACCGGTTCAACCGGGGTTCAACCGGATTTTCATATTTTTATTTATTTTTTTTAATATTTATATATAATTTTATAGTGACATATAATTTATACATTAAAAAACTACATCTATCACCAAAAATATCAACCTGAAATTCAATTCATTAAGTATCCATAATAAATTTGAATATATAGAGAAAATAAAATAAAATTTTATAAGACCATAATAAATTTTAAAAAAATTACAAATATCAAAATAAATTTATGAAAAAAAAATAGAGAAATAAATTCTCAATCATTGAAAATTTATTCTAATATGTAAATACATTTTAAATAATAAATTTATTAGCACATCAAAAATAAGTTTTAAAAAAAAAAAGCAATAATAAAAACTAACTAAATTAATAAATAATACAGTATTGTTTTCATATAAATTACTAAAGATATCATCAAACCCTAACACATTCAGCCGCAACACTCTCAAGCCTCACCATCTACACTCTTTCTCCTTCATTCCGCCGACAATGTGTAGAAGAACACAAAAAGAAGAAAAAAACATTTTTTATTTTCATTTTTTTCTCCTTTTACTATACTTTTTTCCTTAAATCATTCAACTCAAACATCTTCTTACAAAGAGGAGAACACAAATTTCCGCTGATTATTATTGTTGCCATAAACCGGGTTTCATAGCCGGGTTTCACCGGTTTTGTCCGGTTCAACCGTGATTTGCCCGGTCCGTAATCATTCCGCCCGGTATTTTGGCTTTCGCGAGTTTTACAGTCGAACCGGACCGGACCAGTCACCGGTTCGAGGTTGAACCGGTTGAACCGGCCGGTCCGGTCCGGTTATGAAAACATTGGTTTTTACTAACATGAGTGTCGCAATATAAACAAATATATTTCATTCATAAACTTAAGTGTTTTTATAATTTTAATTTTTCAATTCTACGGATAAATATATTTCTAGAGCAATCTTTTGCTTCTACATCTCATTGAAAGAGTCGGTTCATACACAACTAATATTCCTCAATTACGTTTTTTTTTACATTTTAATATTTTTTTATTGAAATGTGATTTATAGTTGTAGGATCCAATCTTTTATAAAACTGGTACTTCACTTGTTCGATGCACGGGGATTAGTTTCAAAATGAGAAAAAAATAATAATATATGTAATAAATTGAATTCAAGTAAAACGAAATCAACAGTAGGACACGAAGCTATGGTTAAATCTATCGTTACAGGATGAATAACCTGTTATTCTTCATCAATTTCAATATATGACTAACAAAGAATGTGTGCTTAGAATTACCTTGCACAAAAGATAATATACTCGATCATCCATGTAGAAAATTCTACTTGTTGCAAATAAAATTGAACATACATAAAGTCTATATAAAGTATTGTGACGTATAACTGCCGCTTCACTTCTAATACTAATACCAATACTTATACTAATATTAATACTGATATAATATTGACATACCGATACTAAGAGTCTGCTTGACTAAGCGTATAAGCTTCTAAAAATATCTTATAAGATGTTTAAAAGCTTATAAGCTGTTGAAAGGTGTTTGGTAAAAAAAATTAATATCTGTTTTGGATGATGAATTTCTTTGAAGATTATTGATGTCCATCATTACTTTTAGTATGATCACATTATAACAATTGTGCAACTTTCTACCTACTAATAACTCCATTAAATTATTGTGTATGTTATAAATCATGATATTTGACTAGCTTTCGTACACGTTTGAATCCATTTAAATTTGTTATAAATTAAGAGTCAAATATTGTATGAATGTATGTAAAGCTAGTATGAAATAAAATATTTCAACATGCAATCTATAGACAATATTGTGGTAAATGCCGTAACGCGAGGAATCATTATCGCAAGGCATAGTAGGGGGGGGGGGGGGGGGGGGGGTAAGCATTTATATCGTAAAATTAACATTGTATATGGTAGAAAAGTAACCATAACATATAGGACCCTTGTCGAAATGCATGATCATTTTCAACTTGTTTTACTTTTTATGTGTTCTTTTCAACAAGTTTATAACATCATCGATTCAGTGGAGAAACTAGGATTTTAAAACTAGGGGGGCCATATGTATAATAATATAAGTAAATTTCATGGGTTTAGCGAGCGCCCTCGAAAAAAAATTAGGATTTTTTTTTTCTTTTTGACAAAACCAAAAGATAGGAAAAAGAAATCTTTTAGGATTTTTCTTTTGCATTAATTCGGACTTTGGATGGAGTAAATAATAAAAATTAGGTACCAATCCTCATTAGGAGAGTTGGTACTAATGAGGGTAGGTACCTAGCCTTACAAATAGGGTAGATGTCTAGGGTTCGAGTCCCCCCTCCCCTACTTCTCCTTGTAATGGACTTGAATTTACTCAAAAAAAAAAAATCTTATATATAAAAGAAAGAAACGTTGGGCAACCCTAAAAAAACTCTCATAGTATTTCTGTAATTATTTATTTTTAATATTTTTTCTCTTCTAATTTCTTACTATAATTTTTAACAATTTTCAAAATTAAAACTAACTCGTGATACATTATTTGTACTTATGTAATTATTTATTTTTAATATTTTTTGTCTATTATGTTTTTAACTATAATTTTCAACACTTATTAATCTCCTATTTTTCATCAATATATCTCAAATCTTAAGAGATAAAGCTAGAAATTCGATTTGTTAAATGTTAGTCTATTTATTTGGATTATAAATCTTAATATGTAAGGTTTAAAAAAACTAATGTTATATAAAATATGAATAATACTACATTATTAATTTTAACTATATTAGTGTACTATATTTTCTTATTATGTATTAAATAGATTTTTTTTCCACTATTTAAATAATATCTCGTGCATCGCACGGGGGAAAAATGCTAGTAAATAATAATAATAATAATAATAATAATAATAATAATAATAATAATAATAATAATAATAATAATAATAATAATAATAATAATAATAATAATAATAATAATAATAATAATAATAATTAGGTGGACTAAATAAATATATAGGTATAACTTAGTGGATTTTTTTTTCAATTGAGGATGGACTTGAGTAGACTCATTTATTATTTTTCTATGTTTTCATTAATTACAACTACTCAATTTTACTTTTTATATAATAGTAAATTGTTAAAAATTAAAGGAACACAATACAAAGGCAATAAATCGTATATACATATATCCTAGTTAAAAAAATTAAAATTTGAGGGGGGCCATGGCCCCGTCTGGCCCTACACTTGCTTCCCCACTGATCATCACATCATCCTAGCTCCTAAAAATAGTAATTGAAAAATAATTTTCCACAAGACTAATGGGTTTCGAAACAAATATTAACAAAACTAATTATTTATAAATTTGAGGGAAAATGCAGTGATGGATTAAAATACCAGTGTTTTTTTATTTTTTTGTTATTGTTTTTGTCTCTAATAATTTTCTCTCCGTTAGTTAGAAGCATGAGGGCCAAAAAAGAAAAAAAAAAAAGGAAAATGTATTAGAAGTATAATTGAGTTTCTAAAGTGAAAAATAAATATATCAAACAAAATTAATTTGAAAGAGAGGGACTATTTCATATCCAATCCTTTAGTGAAACTAAACAATGTTATTTAAAGAAAGGAGACTTAAGATATAGGTATGTAGTGACAAAATTTATTAAAACTAAATGAGAAGTTCAACAAAATCTTTGTTTCACATTATTTATTATATTCATTCGAAACATGCTCCTCCATTCACAAATTTGAAATTTACATAAAATAAAATTCAAAATGCTCTTGTCATTTTTTATTATGCATTTAATGTTTTCATTTTTCATCTAACATATTTTGTTTTACTTTATTTTTAGAAACTTAATTATCTTTGTTTTTTTAATGGTAACATTTTTTATATTATTATAAACAATTTATTTTAACATTATATTGAAAATTATGAAAAACATATTTTTCGTTTTTGTTAAATAATACAGCATATTGTAAAAATACTATGGTGTTATAGTATACTATGGTTTACTATGGTGTATTATTCCGAACCATATAACCCAACAACTCCCAGCCGCCACCAAACTGTAATGTCTTTCAGCCGTCGTTATACCATAGCAACCAACAAATTCCAACCGCCACCAAAACCTAACAACCAACAATTCCCTCGCCGCCGCCAACCCATTCTACGAAAACCTAGCTGCACACCAACCCTAGCCGTCGACCAAATTAAACCCTAGCCGCCATAGCCGCCGCCTGCCACCATAGATTTGACCTCTCACCACCATAATTGCCGCCTCGTACCATAGATCTGACCTCACGCCATCATAGCCACCGCCTCCACCGCCATAGTTGCACCATAGCAACCACCCCTCAACAAATTGATGGGGTTGTGGAGAAAGAGAGTGAGAGAAGATAGAAGAGTAAGAGACAGAGAGAAAAAAGACGAGAAATACAAAAAATAGGTCTGAGAGAAACGCAATTCTATAGTTTATGAATTTAGGTTAAGAACAACTTAGGGATTTAAAAAAATAAGGGTGTGAGTCATATTTCTTCTTAGAAAAAGATTCAGTTCAAAAGAAAAAAAAAATAGAGTTGTATTCCGTATCTAATTATGTTTTCAATCTAAGAATATTCACATATTAATCGTTAAATAAATATTTATTTTTCCTAAACGTTTTATAGGAAAAATAGAATTCAAAAGTCAAAAGCATGATTTGAATTACAAAAGGCTCAAAAGATACACTAGTAGAAAGGGAGATCATGAAGAAGAACGCACAAGTTGAATGAAAGAATATAAATTTTCTCATTGGCCAAAAACCATGGAAACAATTAAACAAAGAATAAATTGAATGGAATCTATTTTCTTTAATTATTCACATGAGTGTGAACCCTACTCCCACTCGCTCATTTTATATTCCACCACTTGGCCGGATTTGTGTCCAACTTTGCAACCCCGCCGGCCAACTGTTTCCGCCGCCGCCGCCTTCCTCTTCCGCATCAGTCCATTCTCCGAATTAGAAGATGACGAACTATCTGAAGAAGCCGCCGCCGCCGCCGATCTCTTTGCCGTAACCCTAACAGGCGCCGGCTCACCGGAATTTATCCTCAGAGGGAAATTCAGCAGCGCCCGCGAACCCCGCATACAGTACGCCGCCCTGTCGTAAGCCACCGCCGCATCCTCCGCCGTCTCATATGTCCCCAGCCACACCCGTGCCCCATTCTTCGCCGGATCCCTAATCTCCGCCGCGAACTTCCCCCACGGCCGCTGCCTCACCCCCCGGTAATGCTTTCCTCTATGAGGCGCCGCCACCTCCATCGGAGGCGCCGCCGCTTGAAAATTCAGAATTGTCTCGGGGTTCCCGAACGAGAAATGGGTTTCGGTCTTCACAATCGCCGGAGCAGCGTCGAGAAGCGGCTGCCACCCTATGTTTGCGGTGGCGCCGCCGGAGAAGACTCCATACCTAAAAATGTCGTCGGAATAAATATTGGTTTCTTTGGGTGCAGGTGGATTCGACGCCATTTGAGGCAAGCTTGAAGAGACGACTGCTTCGATTCCGCCATTAATATTATTCGAAAATGTTAATGGGTTAATCATCAGCTGAGAATCATCGAGCAAATGTCTTCTGATGGATTCTAGAAGGGCGAGATCAGCCTCATAATCTTCGTCCTTTCCGTACATCATTTTGCAAAGATTCCTTAATTTTTACGAATTTGTAAGAATATATAATTATTTGTCGGAATCTTGATGAAGATAAGATTTGAAGACATGGTGTAGCTATTTATATGTATATTTGGGCGTTTTGAGATTTGATGGAAGGTTCATGCATTTAGATGAGACTATGTGAAAATTCAAAGTTGGAGGGATCAATTTGTTAGTATTAAGGAAGCTTCTTGGAATGTTCTATATAAAAAAATATAATAAAAGAATTGATGTTTTACATCACATGCTGAAATTCATTAGTATATTTGGATAATGAATTTTTATGTGTTGGGATTGTTTTTGGAAGCCGTCTTATTTTTGTCCTTTAGCAAAACTCTTAGATAGACTAGATTTTACACAACCAATACCATTGCATAAAATACACGGTATATTATATTTACTTCTGGGACAATTTTTTCACTATTAAAATCTTCTTATACAAAATTTGCACGTTTTAACTACATCATTTTTTTTTTTACCAAAATTCATAATTTTATTTTTAATCCCCTAGTTTACCCTTAACTTAAATTCATAACTTCTATACAAACGTATCTCCATCGGATTTATTTTCTGTACTTTGCAATCTCTTTTTTTCTCATCTGTCTCTCTCTCTATAGCAGCCACTCCATGGTCTACCTTTCATCATTCCCTAGCGCCGACGACCCCATTGCATCGAGTCACATAAGCGATGGTGGCGAAGATGGAGGTTATAGCAGTGGCGGTGGAGATGACTATGGCGGTCGAGGGTGGCGGTGGCTATGGGGTGGCAACGGCTAATGGAGGTGGTGGTCGCGGCTATGGGGGGACGATTATGGTGGTCGCGGTTATATATGGGTGATACGCGTAAAACCTACGTATAAATAACTGCAAGTGTATAGTATCGCGTTTTGTAGAATAGAGTATTCCAGATATCGATCCACAGGGAATTAAGTTCCTAAATCTACCAAGTACCGTACTTATACTATCCTAAACTTTATTTAGACGGACGAAGGGATGGGGGATGAAATGACGCCAAAAGGAAACAAAAATAAAAACACCGGTCCGCCAGTACAAGCAATGAATTCCGACGTGTGATGGCTTCTAGGGTAAAATCCACCAGTATACTATCGATAAAGATCTACAAATCCGAATCTATTGTCAATTCTATGTTCGCTAATCCAGACACTAAAATACCCTATCCCCCGTCTCCAGTGTAGTTAGAGTCTACCCACAGGTCCGACGTCTCCGTTCAGAACCTGATATTAAGAGAGCATTTAGGTCAAGTCCTTAAGGGCTACCCGAGGTGCATCACGTCTCCGTTTCCACAACCCGAGCTATGTTTTCCTAAAATCAAACGAGAAATCCTCTCTCGAGTTCATTCCCATTTAGAATCAATTCAACTGTTGGCCAAACAATCGAAAGCATTTAATACAGGAAAATATAAACAGAATCAAAGAACGACAAATAGATCACAGATCTGGAAATCAAAATCAATATATACAAGGTTTCATTTCCCTGGAAGAAAATGCTCAGTTCATTACAAACATAGCATCAAAATGAAGAACACGAGAAATCATAAACAAAACGTAATGAAAAGCTTATGAAAAACACGAGTCGAAACCCTCGTCGAAGCTTCCCGCGAAGAACTGGCGAGAACCAAAGAGAAAACCGAAGAAGAAGTCGAGAGATAGGTCGAGAGTTTTTTGAGAGGTTGAAAAATTAAAAAGAGACCTTCTATTTATAGTGAGAAATCAAAGAAAAATATCTAGTCTCGATTTCTGTGCCCAGATCGCGATCTGGGCTTCTTGGATCGCGATCTGGCAACCTCGAAAACTGCGCACCGCCTTCCTAGATCGCGATCCAGGAAGTGCGGATCGCGATCTGCCCCAACTTTTCGCTGCTACAGGAATTTGCCACCAGATTGCGATCCGGTGATTCTGGATCGTGATCTGGCCTCTGCATCAACTTCAAACACTTTTTTCACCCTTTTTCTGCCCGAATTCGACAATTGTGCATTCACAAAAGTTGTAGCCCTCGAAGTTAGCTTTCGAAATACACTTGAATCAGCCCAATCGGAGGTCGTATGAAAAAATTATGGTTGAAATACCAAACACTGCCACAATCCGCGAGAATGCACTTTTGCACGTGTTTAGTTTGATTCTCGGCTTCGCTTCCAAAATCGTCTCGAATCGGCAAAAATAGCTTCTCTTTACCTAAAATTCAAATTAAACAAAAACAACATAATGTATACAAATAAAGCCGAAAACTCGGACAAACGAAGACCAGAACTCGAAGAATTGATAAGTGAAAATCATGCAAAATGAACACTCATCAATGGGGGGGACCACTATGGTGGTCGCAGTTATAGGGGGGGCGATTATGGTGGTCGCGGTTATATATGGGGGGGACCACTATGGTGGTCGCAGTTATAGGGGGGACGATTATGGTGGTCGCGGTTATATATGGGGGGACGATTACGGTGGTCGCGGTTATATATGGGGAGGAACACTATGGTGGTCGCAGTTATAGAGGGGACGATTATGGTGGTAGCGGAGGCGGCGGCTATGGCGATGGCTATTGGAGATGGTGGAGTAATGTCAGATTGACAGTGGGAGACGGTGGCTATGGCGATGACTATTGGAGGTGGTGGAGTGATGTCAGATTGATAGTGGGAGACGGCGGCTATGGTAATGGCCGTTGGAGACGTATGGCGATGTGAGGTCGCATCGATGGTCGGAGGCGGCGGCATCTATATAGGGTTCTGTGATGGCGCTAGTGTTTGGTGGAGGGGGTTTGATGGCGTCTGAGAGTTGTTGGCTGCTAGGGTTTATCGACGGCTGGAAGTTGCATGCTGCTAGGGTTTGGTGATGGCTGAGGAGTTGTGGGTATTAGGGTTCGAAATAGTATACATTATACTAAAACACAGTACACCATAGTATACTAAAGTCTGTAGTACTTTATAGAATAGACAAAGGTCATGTAGTGAAGTGGGATTCAAGGTTTAGATGCCTACAATTGATGATAGTGACTATAGGCGATTATAGATAACTATATTTATCTAAGATAAATTATAAAAAATAAGGGTAAATTCCACTTTTCCCCCTTGTACTTTGCCTCGATATCACCTTACCCTCTTCTACTCTCAATTGCATCGATTTGCCCCCTTGTACTCTGATTCGATATCACTTGACCCCCTTCTACTCTCAATTGCATTGATTTGCCCTCTTGTACTTTGGCTCGATATCACTTTACCCCGTTCTACTCTCAATTGCATCGATTTGCTCCATGTACTTGAAAAATTGTCTCAATGTGGCCCTCACCGTTAGTTTTCACACCTTTGACCTTAACACCGTTTGATCTAAGTTTGAAAATTACAAAAAAAGTTACCCATCCCAGTTAAAATAATTATTAAAAAATAAAATAAAACAAAAAAATTAAATTGTGGCTGGCATCGTGGACTGTGTTTTTTCGTTGTCTTGAATTTTTTTTTTATTATTTTAATTTTTGTTTTTTTTATTTTTCTAATAATTATTTAAACTGGGAGGGGTGAATTTTTAGTAATATTCATACTTAGTTCAAATAGTGTTAAGGTCAAAAGTCTGAAAACTAACGACGAGGGCCACATTGAGACAATATCAAGTACATGGGGACATATCGATGCAATTGAGAGTAGAAGGGGGTAAAGTAATAACGAGCCAAAGTACAAGGGGGCAAATCGATGCAATGGAGGGTAGAAGGGTGTAAAGTGATATTGGACAAAAGTACAGGGGCAAAGTGAAATTTACCCAAAAAATAATTAAGAATAAGTAATTTAAAGTGAAAAAACGGAAAAACATGTTTTCGTAATTTTCATTATTATGTAGATTAATAAGGAATTTTTTTTAATCATATTGTAAAAACATAAATGCTAAAATGAATAAAAAGGAAAAGAGATGAAGATAAATTATGTAAAAAATTGTTAGAGGCAACAATGAAGATGGTAATTGCATTGTTATCATATTCGGAATATATCATGTATCGTTTTTCTCAAGTCTATAAAAAAATTCCGGTCAGCTGGTTAACACGGACAAGAGCTCGGTTTATATTGGTTAATGGGCTGAATCAAGACATCAAATGATCGAGCAAGCTACGGGAATTCGTCGAAAAAATATTTGGGCGTTCCTATTTTACGGGAAGAATTCGTGCCAACTATACGAGTATTTAGTAGAAAAAAATTCGACGTAAACTTGAAGGCTGGAAAGGAAAGCTTCTATCCTTGCGGGAAAACTTACATTGATAAAATATGATTTGTCAAGCATTCTATTTATTGCTTAGCCTTTTCGAAAGTTCCTTCCTTGGTGCTTAATTGCATAGTGCAATTAATGGCATTCTTTTTGTGGAGCTCAAATGGTGTTGGAAAATTTGGGCGTAAAGCTCATCTTAATAAAATATTTAAGTGAGTTTCGTTTATCGAAAATGGAAATAAATTTTAAATTCATGATCTACGTTTCGATAGATGAATCTAATGTAATTAATTTCTCAAAATTGACTTTGTATGAATGAGAAATTAATGCATAAAGATAGACTATTAAATAGGGTAAATTACACCCACACCCCTGAGGTATGCTGGAATAACTTTAAGGTCCATGTGGTATCGATAATTACACTCACCTCCTTGAAACGTAGTTATAAACTCTAATGGTATAATGCATTGGATGTGTTATTACGATAGAGTTCTAACGGACTATTGGTTTCAGGAAGTGGTGAAGACAACAAAGAGTTATGGGTGATTTAAGAAATATTGAGGGAGTCATGTCACCCCATAACTCCCCATAACTCTATGTTATCTTCACCACTAGCTAAAAGTAATAGTCCATTAGAACCCTATCGGAATAATGTAT